TGATTCAAGGATTCTTGTCTCTGTAATCTCATATCCTCATTGAATTTCTTAATGAATGCTTCCACTTTCCGGTTAAGTTCCTCCTGCCCCAACGACGGATCCTTCCTCAGCCTCCCCGACCCACCCGACCGACTCAGCTTCGACGGCATAGGCGGTGGTTTCCTACTACTACCACCTCCGCGGTTGACGTCAAACGTATCGGACTTCGTCATCCTTTCCGGGTGATGCTCGATTGGTGAGTCCTCGGAGTTGCGGTGTGTCTCCCACGTGTCAGATTTACGTAGGTGTCTCGTCAAAGGCACCGACCGGCCCTCCGTTATTGTCTTCCACGTGGTTTCCAATGTGTCCTGACGCTTCGGCTTCGCAATCCCCAACGCCCGTCCACCTGCAAATCCATGGTGTCAACTGTTAACTAACTGTAAAGTGTAAAACCAGAGAAAGCTGACGTCATCTTCACGATGTCGTTTTTTTATGACGATGTTAGTCTTATCTTTTTAAATTATAGTGGAAGGATCAAGCTTCAAGATTACGGCTAGTAAGTTCTGTTTGTCCTCTTCCTCACCGTCTTCAAAGGGCAATATCGTAATTAATATCTTTGATTGAAAACTCAGTGTATATCCGTTACATACTCCGGCGTATGATCACCGGAGATTACGAATAACAAATTGAAGATGTAAACTTCGTGTAACGACGTGTTAAATGTGAAAGAGCTTAAAGAGAAAGAGAGTGAGTATTATTAGTTTATTACCTTCGGCGCTGCCTTTCGCAAGTTTCCGGTGGCTGAATCTGGCGGAAGCTGGTGGTTTCTCCACCGGAAAAGTGAGATCTACTTGTTTTATTTTTGACGGGGTCCAGGAAGACATCGAGATTACATGCTTATTAATTGTATTATTTGTGATTTCTTCGTAAGCTTCGGTTGCTACCTTCATATCTTCATCCTTGTATTCATCAGTAAACTGAGGAATACCAAAATCCGGTTCCGGAGCTTGAACAAACATCGGACTATCGCCGTAACTAGCGGCGGTGATCTTCACGGGTTCATTCGCCAATTGACCACCGTGGAACGGTGGTTCCAGTGGGGGTAGCTCAACCTTGATGGGCTCAGTTGAGAGTAGGAGTGCAGTAGGGAGAGTTGGCGACATCGAGGGAGAAGGAGAAGCATCGAGCTTGGACTGTAAGCGTGAAGAAGCAACGATGGTGATGATGATACAGTTGATGACGACGTAAAGATACGGCGGTTTGAGCCAAGAGATGACGGAGGTCCATAGGAAAGGAAGGTCGGAGATTGTCAGCTCCATAATGACAGGTGCTACAAGTTTGAGCATGACAGCGGTTGACAAGACAGTGGCGGAAACCACGGCGAGTTTAAGAGAGAAGCCCATGGCGGTTTGTGGTGCCGGTGGTAGTGGAGTGGAGGCGGAGTTATGTGGGTATAAATAGTTGGAAATATGTGAGATTGAGGGTGGTGGAGGGATGGTAATAAATGGAGGAAAGTGTGGGCTTCCGCGATATGTATTTAAGTATATCTTAGTGGGACCTACATGCAGATGATGTTCACACTTGTATTTTCGTGATAATTCATATGTTGACCCAATTGTAATTTGTATAGTATGGATCATTTAATATTTTATTTGTCAATATGTATGATACTGAAGTGTTTGTTTTTCTTTCAGTTCATTCTTTTTTTCCTGACCAGAAAACATTAAAATCTATTATTTTTGTATAGTTCTTTCGATCCAAAGAAAATGAAAAGATTATTATCAATTTCTTTTTTTCTTCTTTCGTTTCTTTCTCTCCATTTTTTTGAAAGGATAGACAAATATATTAATATTGGGAAAAACTACTAAGAAGATGGGAGGTACATTAATAAAAAGCAGAAAACAACAAGAAAAAATAAACATTACAAACATTAATCCTTGCATTCAAGGATTGATTGCAGCACTCTTGTGTCCACACGAGAGAATCGCCTTTATTTGGGGAAATGACTTGATGAAATTCAACCATCTAAAAAATCTCAATTATGATTTGTCTGTTCAACAAATGACATAGCTTATAACGTGAATTAAATATCCGGAAAATAACTTGTAATACCAACGAAGTTTTGAAACAGTTCAAAAAACTTCAATCATGTTTTGTTTGTTAAAAAAAAACTCAACGAACTTAACATTTTGTTTAAAAAAACTCAACGAACTTATGCTTTTGTTCAATTCTCATTTGAAGCAACCAGATTCATTAGGTATACAATTAGTTGCAAATGATATCACATTATATTTAATGACATGACATTATATTTAATGACATAAAATAAACACATTAGAATTGTGTTTTATATATCGATTTAGGGTTTGAAGAGATGAGATGAGTCCTGGAATCGAACGAATCAAACCGAGAACCAAAAAATCGAAAACCGAAAATGAGAAAATATGGGAACCGAAAACCGAACCAAATATACTAGTTCGGTTCAGGTTCAGGTTCCGGTTCCGCTTTTGCCGTTCCAAAACCGTAGAACCGAACTTCGATTTTTGCATTTTGAGGTAGGTGCTCTCTCTCTCTCTCTCTCTCTCTCTGTGTGTGTGTGTGTCTATATATATATATATATATATATATATATATATATATATATATATATATATATATATATATATATATATATATATATATATATATATATATATTACAAAAACCTTGATACCCTGAATGTTGCTCATGACGATGGGACCATTATATTTAATGTAACGAATATAAAAACAACCTATAATATTTACAAGATTCTTGTATGCAATTTAGGTGTAGTACTTGTAATATAAAACTAAACTAATTATTACAATAAGATGGATGAGTTGATAAAATAACAAATAATCGTTGAAATTTCATCGGTCTTTTGCATGTTTGTGACAGCTAGTTGGGCTGTCGCATTTATCAAAATATCTCATATTTGTTCGAACTTAATAACATAATTTATTTTTTTAAAATATTTACTTATTTGTATCGTGTAAAGATGGAGATGTCTTTTTAATAAAATCAGGCCCAGATGTCTACTGATCTGATATTTGTTTTATAAATGTTTATATACTCGTTTTCCAAATTTATTATTTATGTTTTTTACCAATTTGCTTTTAACAAGAAATATGGGTCTGAGTTTTTCTTGATCTTAAGAGTACTCGAGAGCTTATTTTTTTTTGGGAGAATCACGAGAGTAGCAACAACACGGAATCTTATATTTTGTTTGTGTGTGTGATTAGACATGATTTCAATTTATTAATTTTGGTGTTTAATTTGGTCGAAAAGGTTACAAGGGAAATAGTGCATATTTAATACATAACGTGGAAGGTGGCGTTAAATATAATTAATTTAGTAAAGTTGGTTTGTTTCTTAATTAATTAACTAGATCTAAGTGATTAAGGATTTAAGATTAGATTAGTGAGGAGCCAAGTGTTGATATGGTTCCCTACCGATAAGTCAATATCGTAGACATAAGCAAACCTTCCTATTTTTATAATTTTATATTATAAAATGTAACAAGGATAAGTTTTGTTTTGAAAAGTTTATTACAAGTAGTACGGTTATCTTTCTAACAAAATAAAGTTTTCTGGATTTGTGAAACACATATAGAGACATATGTCTCATGTACTCCATTCCTTGATCGTACTTTATTATTGTAGTTGATTAGTTGTTGGATTAGATAGAACAAAATTGTACTGATTAAGGTTTTTTTTTTTTTTTTTACATTATGTTTGGCATCATGAAATCCAGATTATGAGATAATACTTCAGAGAACAATTTCATATGAAGACACTAATGAGAAATCACAAACTATGAATTTATTTATATGAATATGAATTATTTCTTATTACCAAAGAAAATTGATCAATTAGCATTAGATGCTCATTATATCTGCAAATGTCATTTGGTTGAACTGAGATCAAACTTGCTCTATACAAGCATGTACTTTATACCTCCACTTGTTTTAAATCAAGACTTGAATTCTATTGTTAATCTTGTAAATTCCATTACACTACAATGATATAATGACAAAATTACCAACAGATAAAGACATGACAATATTTATTTGTTGGTGGTTAAGTTGCTAAGGATTTGTAAATTTGAAAATGCACTTAACATATAAAGTATGTTTTAAAAACTATGGAAACTGTGAATGGGGGAGATTCAATTGCATGAAAAACTGAAGTTTTTTTACAACGTAAATTTATTTACATGAACATAATCATTATTCAAACTACATATCAGTTTTTATAATAAATAGATTTTGATAATAATAAGTTTGAGAAATCAAATATCATCCTACTTTTTATTTTCTATCATCTTCCTATCCATTTAAGATCGTCACATTTGTCATATTTAATATAATTAATAAATTTTTATTACACGGGTAAGGATTGATATGAAAGAAAAAGTATAAAAAATTAAGGATATTTAATTTTTCTAATATGTTTAAGCACTCAACAAAGTTAAAACAGTCGGCACCTGTGGCAACTGGCATCGCATGTGGGTTCTCCCAAAGGTACACACATGTGCATATTTGAAACTTCCATTTTTCACGCCTACTTTTACTAGCCCTTGTTTGTAATTAAAAATATATAACACAAACTTATTCTGACTTATAAAAATCGAACTCAATATTATAGACATTATATACATGAAAAGAAGAAGTAATTTTATACTTGAAGAAAGGAAGAGAGTGAATATGAAAAGTGATAATAAAAAGGTTGTTTGGATTAAATATAGAGGCAATAGTGGTATTTGTAAGAGTGAATATTTCTCATTCTCCTTAATATAATTGTCTCCATGTATTGTGTTTTGGCCCTCGTTTTAAGCTTCTTGCTTATCCGGGGTTCAGCTTTATATAAATTTGCCATTTCCAAAAAAAAATAGATAATAAAAAGGTTGTTATTGATCAACATAAATTCATCACTAAGCACGATGATGAATGATCCAGGTATTGATACATCTTGAATGTTTAGATTATAAAATTTGATTGTATATTAATGTGAATTAAGGTTATTTAAAAACGTGAAGTAACCTATCGAAACGTGTAATACTTTGACCAAAATTTTATAAACGATATGCATACAATCTAATAATAAAAAACATCAAACAAATCTAAAATTAATCGAGCAACGTCACCCGCAAACCTACCATAGTGAGTCACGTAACGTTTAACGGTTTAATCCATCCATCAAAAGTCAAAACTCAAAAGTCAGTTTAAACTTTAAAGTTACGTGTAACTTCTGTCATGAAATTTTATTATCCTCGGGATTCACAGCATACCATTTCCATATTTGTTTAACCCAGTTTTTAATATTATTGATTTTAAAATAGTCACTAAAGTTTCTTTTATACGCATAAGTTTCCTATGTTGAATCTTAAACTTTATGGCTGATGAGTGATGAGGCAACGTTTTGATCACAAGTGGTAGACAATTGTCAATGTAAATAGATTATCAAATAAAAAAAAACAAAGAAAGCAAGGAGCAACAAGTTTAGAAATTCATTCACATACATTGGAAAATTAAAAAACTGGGAATAATGAGAAAAAAAACAAGCTGAAAACTGCATCCTCTACAAATAGTTTACAATCCCCGACACAGGAAAAATAGATTTTTTTTTTTCATTTTTTTTGTGAATTATGGTACACAAAATAAGAAGGGTGTATTAAAAAAGATCATGGTTTGGAGAACATCCCTTGAGTTAAGGACGAGAAATCATAGTCTTTTGCAGACTGTGAAGCCGATCCGGTTGCTGCTGGTGGTTTAGACCCACCAGATCCCCCCATGCTGCCAGGTGGCATCACCCCATTGGTAGTTGCATTCAATCCCATCGTGTTGTAAACACTATAACAAAATAATAATAATCATAGTGTTACCATTTACATTTACGCCAATTAATAATACATACAAAAAAGTAAGATATAAATTAGAATCATACCTGGATGATGTTGGAACCTGAAAATGAACTGCCAGCTGGAATTTGTGCTCCGAGTCCCCATATTTCCCATCTATTTATTTCATTAATTAAACAGTTACAAATAAAGTCTTAACTATATTAATTGTATAGAAAATATAAATACTTTTTATATACCTGTTGTAAATATTTCTCTAGTTCATCTTTTCCAGGTTGTGGTGTAGGTGTAGCATGCATTCCGGGAAACTGATAGCCAACATTTGCCCAGTTTTGATTGGGGAGTAAATTACGATGTTGCCCTTGGCCTCCATTGCCATTAAGATTTGGCAAACCACCTGATTTAGCAGCAGCAGCCATGAGTAGATACTGCTGCTGAGCTAACATAGCAAGTTGCTGTTGGTGAAGAGCATATGGTGATGTTGTGTTGTTATTGTTACTCTTTTCAAAGAGACTCATGATATCGTTTTTAACATCCTTCTGAGGCTTCTGTGATGCTGAATTAGGTTGTGAGAGAGGAGGTGAGTCTTTGAACAGATCTTCAATTCCAGAAGTGGGAACAGGATTTGGCTTTGTTTGGTTGTTAATGTTATCAACAGGTTTTGAAACGTCTGTTGTGATTGGTGGAACTTGAACAGCAGAAGCAGCTGTAAATCGATATAACAATATAAGTTGTTATGTGTAGTAGAATTTTAATCTTATTAAGTAATGAGTAAGTAGAGTTACATTGAAATCCTGCCCATAGATCGTCTGTAGAAGCTTCTGGAACTTTCTCATCCATTGAAAGCATGTCAAACAGATCAGTAGCAAATTCTGATTCAGTAGAAGAAACTGCTGATGACTCAGCTTTTGGAATTGGGATCACCTGTTATGTTGAAATAAATGAACAAACTTAACACATAATGAATCTAATGATGATGATGATGATGATGACATACAGATACAGGTTCGGGTCCTTTTGGGGGGACACGAAGGTTGACTTTTGTAGTGTGTGTTTGATAGCTCTTTCTTTCACTTTGCATAGGTGGTGGTGGAGCTTTCTCTTCTTGGACAACAGGAGGTGGGATTTCTCTTCCTTCTTTAGCAACCCATCTTTTGTCTTCATATCTTAAAAAAAAAAGGGACAACATTTTTTTTTAAGACTTTGAAACATAGAAAATGAAGAAGGGAATAGATTTTTTTTTTTTTTTTTTTGAAGAGCTAAAAAGGGTATGTACTTTGCGCGAATGAAATTTTCAATGCCAACTCTATCATAATTTGGAGGGAGTTGTGCTTCCCAATAGCTATTCGACTTCTCGTTTCCCATAGCTGAGTGGAAAGAGAAAATGTATCACAAAACATAATCTTTAAAATTACAATAATTATTTATTTATATTTTTTTATAAACAAAAGGAATATCTGTCTTACATTGGATAAATGCAACCTGCTCGGGTAGCCATGTGTCCAGTGTAGCTGATCGCACCTAGAGAGAGAGAGAGAGAGGTGCATAAATAAATGAAAGAAAACATTATCGTGTCTATTAAAAGGTATAGTTAACCTATATGTTTTAAATTTTAATAACTATTTGTCTTAAGGGGAATGTCTTTATAACAAAACATGAAACATTCATGTAAAATGTGACTCAATAGTACCATGCATCAGAAGCTTGTACTCACTGCATCAAGGGTAGTTTTTTTTTTTTTTTTTTTTTTTTTTTTTTTTTTTTTTTTTTTTTTTTTTTTCTAAATAGCTCCAAAAACTCAATATAAAACAATGTAGGCAGATCTGTGTTTTTCTGTTTCTTATTCTAATTATTTTTCTCTCCATATACAAGGTGGCTAGTGGAAAAGGGATTCAGTCAAATTCCAAGAATTCAAGGTATTGATTTTACAAATATTTTTCTCACAGGTTGTGAAGCATAATTAATTAAACTCTGTTTTTTTTATCTATTCTTTTAAGATGTTCAGATGATAGGGACTTGTATGGATTAATAATAGGAGATGAAGTAATTAAATTATTACCTTTGATATGTGTACACCAAGGCTTCTATGGATTCCAGAACATTGCATGCATATAAAGATGCCTAGGTTCACACTAGCCCATCTAGGACCTCTGTCAGAAAAAAAAAAAAAAAAAAAAAAATGGTTTTAATAGTTAATATAGATAATAACTAAACAATAATCCAATATGATTAATGAATGTCATAAATGAAGTGCATACTTGGTTTTGCAATCAGCACACTCCCTATTCTCAGGCAATTTAAGAAGCCCTTCCAGTATCTGTAAACAAAGATCACATAAAATCAGTTGATATGCAGCATAAAGTTTTTTCAGTGCACCATAATGTGAAAAATAAAGGAATTGTATTGTTTTCACTTCACAAGTTTCTTTCTATATGTACACAACAGTTTTTCAAAGTTTTAACTTTTAGCCCTAAATTGCTCAATCTTGATGACCAAATCAAATAAAGGATGGTTTTTCTTCTATAGTTTATATCGTTATATAATGATCACATATTTGGTAGCATTAACATTTAAAAAGTAATGGAGTCCATCTAATTCATAACAGCCCCTTTCTTTTGATTAAAGACAGCTTATTACACTTGTTTGCAAGTGAAAGTCCACCTTGAACAAATATTTACTAAAAGAAATAATGCCAAATTGGGGTATCAGCACATTACACGAAATAAAGTTGTTGCAGGTAGTTGTAAGATTCATGTTTACATCAACTTGCCTTGGAATTTAATAGACTAAAGTCAGCCTCTTGATTCACCCTTTCTGTTCTCTTAATCTCTTATTACATTTATTGATGCTCAAAGTCAGTTGAAGCCCATGATTCGTTGTTATTAAGTGACTTCTGATAAAATTCTAAATGCAAGTACTAAAAATTTATATATGACTGCAAGTAAATTTCACTAAGCTTTTGAGTTATAACCATCATCCGTGTAACTATAGGTCTATATCCCCTTCTCAGTCATGTTCTAGTGCTCATTCATCACAAAAAATTTACAATTTTTTGTTTTAGAGTAGTTTGTCATCTGGTATCCCTTGCACATAATATGGATCAGTTTACTAAACATGCTGATCTTTTTATTAACTTACTCTTACGTAATATATGATGTAAACGTATGCTCGAAGAGGAATATAGGATACAGATCTCCCTAATTACTAGACAAAATATGTTTATGAAAGTCGCAAACAATAATCGAACAATCAAACGGAACAGATTTCATACAAATTCAATAGTTTTCGATCACACGTATTCAATGTTTATTGAAATAGATCAGCTGCTAAATCTTAAATCAAGTATACTAGATGATATCACGACATATCAGTTAACCTAATAAGTGCAAAACTAAATACAGATCAAGTTACGGAAGAGGAAGAAGACGAGACCTTTCTGTGCCTAGCATTGAGCTCCTTGGAAACACCTGCCTTCTCGTTCATAGTTGCCGATAGGATTACAGAAAAACCTCGATCTCTATCGGCGTTGAGATCTCTCCGTTTTGAGGTGTTCCGATTATAGGATGACGATTTAGATCACCGGAGACGACGACGACGACCGGGAGAGATCGGTAGTCGGTTGGTCGTGATGAGGCTTTGATATTTTTGACCTGTGTTTTGGGGTTTGGGCGTGTGAAGAGAGTTGCTAAGTGGCTGTGGAGCCGGTGTACATTGATCTTGGACGTGTGAATCGGATTACTGCTGGTGTAAATGTATCCGTATTGGGTCCCACCTGTTATTTTTAGAAACAACAAGTAAATGTAACATCTTTCCTAATACTAATAAGTTTCAATATTTAGTGTAATGGACAAAAATAACTATGAAGTTTAAAAAATTTTAAAATTATATAAAATAAAAAGTTGAAATCTATTTGAAGTAATTTTGTATTAAAAAATTTTATTTAAATAAAAGTTAAAAGTTCATAGTGAACGGAAGTTTTTTTAATTCAAGTTAATTTTTTTAAAAGCTAAAAGCCAAAAACTTTGTAAATGATCAAACTTGCATATTTGAATTTTTTTTTTTTAAGTTGCGTTTGTTTTATACACTTTAGTTTATCTTTTGATTTTATTGGAATATAATGTTAGATTATACCAATAAAGTAGATCGTAAGCTAGTATTTTAAAATGTTATTTGTGATAATTTTAACCTTTTGATGGAGTTTGAGCAAGGCCTTGTTTGATTTCTTGTTGAACCAGTCCGGACCTTTTTGGCTGATTCTTACCGATCATTGCATTTGATACCATCATTGCTACATCTTACTCAGTCTTGAAGGTCTTACCTGGTCACAAAAAAAAACTCGTTGACTGAACAGAGAAGCCTTGTTCCCATATTTGCTCTTCTTCTTCTTCTCAAGTGTCCGTTCTCCTTGCCTACCTCCAAGATATGCAAAGGCAAAATGCAAACATATATCAACACCAATCTTGCCTTTTTTGGCCAACGCCTTCGTCGTCCCCGTCTAACATCGCCATACCCACCAATGTCACATCATCCTCCTTCCCCACATCATTTGGTATGTCTCTCCCTCTCTCAGTTGATCTGTGATTTGCTCTTTAATTTTGGATTATTGATCTGATTCACGTTTTGCTCCACAATCGATTTTTATAAAGTTAGGCTCAAGTAAATTCCAAGGTTAGCATCTCGTTGAATCGAATCCAATCTCTCTTTATGTTT